AATATGAAAGGTACATATTACAAAAATTTAAGATTTCAAATTGATAACAGATTGAATATATGGAGCAATGAAGCACCAAAGAAACAAGAGTAGAAATCCCATAACATAACATGCTTAACAACTTACAACACAAACAAATTACCAAAAGAAACAAAACAAAGTTCATCCAATACAATTAAAAAAACACATAAACTGGTAAAAAAAAAAATCAAAAATTATTGTCAATGAAATCAAAGACTACTGGCAGTGGGTGAGTCCAGTCCCCCTTTCTTTTGCTTTGCTGTTCCGATAAGAGAAGTTGCCTTTGCTTGAGAAAAGATCCTACAAACAAATAGCAGAGCTTTAAAACATGTTGAGAAATCTGGAGCTAACAACAGATCTAGGAAGTGATGTTATAGGAATTAATTCCATACTATCAACCTGGTTTGCAAGATGTTGAGAAATCCCAATATACCAAAAAAATCAAATGAAAAAAGAAATATTAACGTTCCAACCGCAAACATTAGCCAATCTTATCACCCACGATTTTGTTACTACCCAAACCCACAAACTAATTTCTATATAAATGGAATGAAAGTATAAAACCCGAAAATAAAAATGATCAAAGTCAAAATATGGATACTTACATAGTTGAAGTTTATGAGATAACACGATAGAGCAGAGGATGAAGGGTGTATGCATCTCAATCTCATCTCCTGCACAATACATAGGCTTCCCACATCAGACGCATTTTCGGCTTTGTTCCCGTTGTGGAGTACTGAAAGAAGGGGTTTTATTGGCGCGTGTTATTGGGCTCACACGTGACTTGTTTACCAAAATCTGAAAAATTGAATATTTGTTGAACGGGACTTTAAACCTAATGATTCGACCTCAATTGTTAAAGTGCTTGGCCATTATCAAGCAGTGGAAGCTGCACAGGGATCCTATTTAACTTTGGACATTTCCCTATCCAAATTTCTTCAATAGAATCACAAACCATAACTCCTTTCGCATTGCAGATGCTCTTTAATTGGGGTAAATCCTCCAAGAAGAATCGCCTTAATTTAGGACAAGTGAAAGTAAATTTTTCCGACGATGATGCATTTAAATCTGATGAGGCTATTATCTCCTCCGTTTGTTCGCAATTGCAAACATGAAACACCTCTAAGTTTTGGAGGCCCTGTAGTAGCTCAAGCGAAAGCAACTTCCTCATTCCAGAACAGCCCCATATAGAAAGCTCTTTAAGATTTGAAAAGGCATGAGGTGATGTTGCTACTCCTTCCCCTCTCACAAGGACACTCAAGTTAGGCAAGCCGTTAAGAGTCAACTTTTCGAGCTTATCCAGTACTGGACAACACAACGAGGAAGAGGATGAGTCCAACTCTACTATGCACTCTATCCCTTCACAATCACCAATAAAACAGCTCCTCAACTCGGTTGCATTTTCTAACAAAACTGTTTTGTTTAAGCTGCATCTCATGTTTTTCATGTTCTTACATTTAGCGATCCACAAATCCTCAAGAGTATCTGGAAGCACTATACATTCTTCTCCAATCTCACATTCAGCAATTAAAACCTTACGTTGATATTTATCACCAAACACATAAACTATGTCTTGTTTATCTATTCTCAGTTGAAGATTGTAAGCAGTAAGACTTTCAAAATCTTTAGACTTATTGACAAGATAGTTGAAGTCTTGTATGGCCTCCATTTCACATTCCAAACTCTCCAACTTGCTCAATCTAGCACCTTCTAAATTTATCATCCCTTTAGCAATTGAGATGACTAAGCACTGGAGACTGGAAAGGCTAGGTAATATTGCCGTTGGAATCTCTTTCAAATTTTGACAAAATAAATCACGATGTTCAAGACTAACCAACATCTCCATGCCCTGAGGGACCACCTCAATCCCTGCCTTATGCAGATCCAACTTCTTCAATGCCCTGAGCTTTGCTAAGGAAGGCAAGTACTTTAACCTGTTGCACTTCCTCAACCGTAGTGCAGAGAGATTCACCAAGTTAGAGATAGAATCAGGTAAAGCTTCAATACCAGTACCAGAAAGATCAAGAACCTTAAGCCCAACCATACCTTCAAAAAAGGAATTGGGAATCTCTGACAAATTAAGATTATTTGACAATATCAAAGTTGACAACAATGGACACTTTGGAGTCAAACCAACAGGAATTTCTGAAATGTAATTTGCCATTAGAGACACCTTGTTAAGATCAATTGCCCAGTCATGCTCATTTGGTACCTTTGACAATTTCATACCAGCTTTGACCATATATCTAACTTCAGGACCAATGCTTTTGATAGCCATGTCTCTTACAACATCATGCATCTTAAAAACTTCATTAGCAAACCCATCAACAGTTTTCTCTAACAAGCAATTCTTTTCCAACCTATTTAAAAAAACGTGACCCCTATCATAAACTTCTTGTCTTCTTCCCGACTGATCAATCAATCCTTCATCGATCCAACCTTCTATCATCTCTTTTCTAGAAAACTCATAATCTTCTTGGAACAAGGAGCAATAAAGAAAACATTTTTGGATTTGCAAACTTCCTAGACGGTCGTAACTAAATTTTAACCGCCTAAATACCATATCCTCCTTAACTCTCACACTATTTACACACTGGCGTAATTCATATAGTGCATTTCTCCACTCTATAATATCTTTTTCTCCCCTCATGCACCCTGCTATTACAACAATTGCCAGCGGTAAACCGGCACACTCCTCCACAATAAGCTTCAAAATTTCTTCCAATCCTGCATCTTGTAAAACATCACGTCCAACCCTATTGAGGAATAGATTTAAAGACTCCCCTGATGAAAGAAGCTGCACTTTAACAATCTCACAACCCATAAAATTGCATACATCAGCCGATCTACTGGTGATAACTACTTTGCAACCATTCTGAAGTGTCGGTTCTGGGATTCCAACATCAGTCAAAGAAAAATTTTCCCATACATCATCTAATATTAGCACAAATCTCACTCTTCCCATTATATCCATTAGTTTTCCTGCCCGCATCATTTCTTCTTCATCTTCTGGAAGTTTTTTGTCCATAGCAAGTGCAATCTTCTTTTGTAGTTCACAAACATTGAGAGGGTAAGACACAGTAACCCAAATCACTTTCTGAAACCTGTCC